GGGGGCTGGGGCGGCGGTGGGGCGAGACGCAGTCAGCATGGCAGACAAGACCTGGAGCAGGCAAAGAAAAGAACGGAGTTAGGCAACAGAACTGCAACGCACACACTTAACTTTTAGCCAACGAATTTCTCTGTACTACGAAGAAAAAGCTTCTAGACTAACGTAAAACTGGCTATTATGGATCATGCAGGGTAATGTTGACCACCCTCTCATTCCTAGCCTCTTATTCCTATGTTCCACTTTTGCTTGACTTGTGCAACCACTGAGCTGCCCAGCATTGTGAGGAACACAACTCAATAAGTGGTAGTACAAGTCGAGCAGAAGTGGAACATAGAAAAAAGAAGGTGGTTCACTTTACCCCGAATGGTCCACATTAGCCTGTTTTACGGTACCACACACTGCAAAATTCTTGCATTGTAAGCAAGTTTGGATTGTAAACTATTTTCTTCGCATTGCAAACTATTTTCTTTGTAAGTTGCAAAGAAATGGTTTGCAAGGTTACAAACTAATTCTTTGCAGCGTTCCGAACGATTTTCTTTGCAATGCAAAGCATTTTACAACGCTTGAAAATTCTTTGCAATGCAAATTACAGTTCTTTGCAAGCTTTTCACAGAGCAGGTAAGCACTGTTGTAGTACAAAGCACTTGTTGTATTATTAAACTAAAACCTTTCACCATAAAACAACTTTGCTTAGTATGCTACTACACAAAGTAAAAACACTTCAGGAGGTCCACCACACACACAGTCAAGCTAAATAACAGACCTCCGATATGTATTAATATGAAATATTTTGATATCTACTCGACTTAAGAGACACGTACCCTGCTTCAGACACTAAGACCTAACTGTATGGGACTGTGATACCTAACTCCCAGACACCTAATATATCTTGCACCAGTCAGAACTGTTAATGTAAAACTGAAACCTAATTTGCTGCAAATAAGCCAGCAACAGTCAATCGGATGAAGCATACAAAATTACTGAACTGATAGACACTTTTTGAAAAATAGTATAAAATGTCGCAATACGTTTCTATTGCAAGGGACCTTTTACGTTGAATCATATTTCATGTTTCAACTTACTTGTGAAATAACACAACATCATGTGTAGTACTGCAATGGGGAGTTTCATAACCTAAAAGGCCTTCAGTTTCCCAGCAGTTCCAACCATTGGCAATCGCAACACATTATGAAAAAACCAAAGGCACAAAATAAAATTCATTGGTGATTATTTTCCAATAGCCACTGAGACTGACATTGGCTCGCCACACACCGCTAAATAGTTTAAAGCTGTATGATAAATCAAATTGGCTCCTGTAAAAGGCGCCATTACTCGACTAGACTGCAGTCCATGGACTCTGGACTGAGGGTGTGTCCGAATTCTCGGGCTGGAACGGCTCGGCTGGTTTGCTCTGCGGCCGTTGCGAGCCGCGCCAGCCGCTCAGGGCAGCCACACATTCGCGACAGGTACGGCGCAAGTCGCGGGGCAATCACGAGAGTCACCCCCGGCATGGGGTAGCTCGCGAGTCACCCCCGCGGATCACCCCCGTCGTAGGGGTGCATATTCTCGCGACTCACGGTCTGTCATCTCGCGGGGTGCTCGCGGTCGCGGTGCTCGCGGCGTCGCGGGTGTTGGTAGCAGCCGAATGGCGGCTGGCGCGGCTCGCAACGGCCGCAGAGCAAACCAGCCGAGCCGTTCCAGCCGAACCTGCCGAGAATTCGGACACACCCTGAGAGTGAGCTGTGGCGCTCTCTCGCGCCGATGGCGAAGCTCGATGTTTTGGTCATTCCCTCTGACGTCACCGTTCCCCCACGACAATGACGCTACGCGCACTAAAAATATGAGAATGTTTTAGGCTGGCACACGTGTAAGAATTTGCGTCACCTACTACGACCGCTACGAGTATGGTTCTCGACGTTGTCCAGAGCCGAGGCGGGCTGCGGCTGCGGTATTCTTCCGTCGTCGTCGTTTTACTATTCAGCCAGGGCTACGAAGGGCAGGGGACGAACATATAGTTGAATATCGGTTGAATACATAGGTGGATCAGAAATTTATAATGTGTAAAATCACAATAATATACCACATCCGAATTTCCCAGCCGCGCTCGAACTTGGGCCTTGCCCGGGGAGTCCGGCCCCGCCCACTGCGGGGGGCCTGGGTGGCCTGGATGTGTCGGACGGGGCCGGGAGGCGGGAGCAGTCATTGCAATTATACTTGGACAGTAGTTAACATGATAATGAATTCCTTTGGGTGGCCCAGCGGCGGTGGCGGCGGGCTTGGTGCTCGTGGTGGTGCTGGGCCGCCCTGCTGCCCTCTAAGCCAACCAACCCCAACCGACCTACTTAAAACAACAAGAGCAAAATGTGCAAAAACAAAACAAAAAATTAAAAAAAGATGAAGTGCTGGCAAACGTCGTACAATGTAACCCGTACCTTTCCCCCCAAAAGGCGTTATTCAATCTATCTTTTCATGCGTGAAGTCACGCGGCACGCGAGCGCGGGGGGGGG